CTAGAGGCAGGCGATGTAGTTCAGTGGAGTACTGAGGACGGGGGTAGGGTAGGGGTAGGGGAGGGCCCGGCAAATTCACTCACCAGGTGCGCTCCAAGCACGCGGCCCCACCCAAGAGGACCTTCAGGGCAGTTGCACCCGAATGCCTAAACACACGAGCCATGCGTGCCGCAGTGCGCGTTTGGTCGGGATCAGCACTCGGCCGAGTGATGATCCCTGCCAAAACGCGATTTCCAGAGGAAGTAGAACCAGCAGGGTCAGAGCTATATGGAGAAGCGCGAAGAGCCTGGATATATACAAGATGGTGTACACTCCACGGCATCCAGGACATCAGTTGTAAGATTGGCGTATCTAGCGAGGTCTTCGGCAACACGTATAGCCATATATACATATATATACACATACACATACATGTACATGCACAGGGCACTACACACACATGTACCGTATACAGTATACATTATACACTATACATATACATATACGTATACAGTTACATATACATATACATATACAAATGCGTATACATATGCATATACATGCACCTATACATATACATCTACATAAACATATGCATATACATATACAAAAACATATACATATACATAACCATAAACATTTACATGTACATGTATGTGTACGCGTACAACTGCATATACAGCGAGCATCACTGAACCCCATCGAACATCGAAGGGAGGGGGTACGCAGCGAGCCTCGCGGAGCACACTCGAGGGAATCCTCAGCGAGCAATGCTGAGTCTGTCATGAGCACGGGGGAGGGGCATCAGCGAGCATCGATGAGCACCTCGAGGGGGATGGTGGTGGTGGTGGCGTCCTCAGCGAGCCTCGCCGAGCACATCGATTGGGGGAAGGGTTATCAGCGAGCCTCGCTGAGCTCCCCGTGGGGATCCTCAGCGAGCCTCGCTGAGCTCATCGAGGTGGAGGGGGAGGGGCGGTGAGGTCCTCAGCGAGCCTCGCTGAGCCCCTCGGAGTGCGGTCCTCAGCGAGCCTCGCTGAGCCCCTCGAGAGGGTGGAGGGGGGGTGGTTATCAGCGAGCCTCGCTGAGCTCATCGATAGGGGGGGGGGGTCTTCAGCGAGCCTCGCTGAGCACCTGGAGGGGAGGGAGGGCCTCAGCTAGCCTCGCTGAGCAACTCGTAGGGGGGGCGGTCCTCAGCGAGCCTCGCTGACCCCCTCGTGAGGGGGTCCTCAGCGAGCATCGCTGAGCCCTCGAGAGAGGGGCGAGGGGTCTTCAGCGAGCCTCGCTGAGCTCATGGATCGGGGGGGGGTCCTCAGCGAGCCTCGCTGAGCACCTGGATGGGGGAGGTGGTCCTCAGCGAGCCTCGCTGAACCTCTCATAGGGGACGGATGGGTCCTCAGCGAGGCTCGCTGAGCATCTCGTGAGGCTCGTGAGGAGTGTTCCTCAGCGAGCCTCGCTGAGCTCCTCGAGAGATGGCGAGACGGGAGGGCACTCAGCGAGCCTCGCTGAGCCCCTCGATCGGGAGGGTTCCTCAGCGAGCCTCGCTGAGCACATGAGTGGTGGGGGGGGGGGGGGGGGGATCCTCAGCGATATCGCTGAGCCCCTCATAGGGGGGGGGTGGGGGGCCTCAGCGAGCCTCGCTGAGCCCCTCGTAGGGGGGGGGGGGGGGGGGTAGGGGCCTCAGCGAGCTGAGCCCATCGACCGGGGGGTCCCTCAGCGAGTCTCGCTGAGCACCTGAGAGGTGGCGGGATGGTGGTCATCAGCGAGCCTCGCTGAGCACATGAGTGGTGGGGGGGGGTCCTCAGCGAGCATCGCTGAGCCCCTCATAGGGGAGGGTAGGGGGCCTCAGCGAGCCTCGCTGAGCCCCTCGATCGGGGGGGGGGGGGTCCTCAGCGAGCCTCGCTGAGCACTTGAGTGGGGGGGGGGTCCTCAGCGAGGCTCGCTGAGCCCCTCAGAGGGGGGTGTAGGGGGTCTCAGCGAGGCTCGCTGAGGCACCCTCACATATCCCGATGAAGTGATCAGCGAGGCTCGCTGAGGGCCACCCCCACCACCCATGTGCTCAGCGAGGCCCGCTGAGACCCATCCCGATCGAGGAGCTCAGCTAGGCTCGCTGAGGACCCCATCATCACATCATCTCTCGAGGTGGGGGGGTGTCAGCGAGGCTCACTGAGGACCAACCCTCACGAGAGGCTCAGCGAAGCTCGCTGATGACCCATCAACTCCCTATGAGGGTGTCAGCGAGGCTGGCTGAGGACACCACCTCCCCTCCAGGAGCTCAGCGAGGTTCGCTGAGGACCCACCCACCCATCATACCATCCATCCTCGCCCGATGGGCTCAGCGAGGCTCGCTGAGGACCACACCTCACGAGGTGCTCAGCGAGGCTCGCTGAGGACCCCCCATGATGGGGCTCAGCGATGCTCACTGGGGACCTCACCTCCCCTCCAGGTGCTCAGCGAGGCTCGCTGAGCCCCCCTTCCCCCCCCTCACCCCCCCCGCTCCCATCCCCACCACCCAGGATCCAGAGGTGGGTTCAGTGAGGCTCACTGAGGACTGCATCGAGAGGGGATCAGCGAGACTCGCTAAGGACTCCCCACCAACGAAGCTTGCTGTATACGTGTGTACATGTAATTGGTCACGTCTATGTAGATGTAATTGTATGTGTATATGCATATGTATATGTAGTTGCACATGTATATGGGTATACATGTGTATATGTATACGTATATGATAATGTATATGTAAGGTACGTGTATATGTATAGTTATATGGAGACGTATATGTATATGTATATTACATGTCTCTGTCTATATATAAGGTATAATGTATAAGGTATATGTATATGTGTATGCGTATGGTTGTGTATGTGTATGTGTACATGCACCATGTGTATACATATATCTATATATATATATATATATACACTCCAACGGCCCATGCTAGGTGTTAACCGGCCCAGAAGGCCAGAAGGCCCTTCCCCCCCCCCGGCCCCCCACCCCTCCCTTCCCAAGACGCCCCAAGAAGCTTTAATATGCCCGCTTGGAGGCGTCGTGGAGCTCCAAGAGGGCCCGAATAATGCTCCAACATGGCACGCGTTTCTACTACCAGACGCCCGCCGGGCGGTAATAGAAAATTTGACCCCTGTGGACTTGTGGAGCCCCTCTTGGACCCTGTTGGGCCTGTTGGGCCAGTTGGGCCTGTTGGGGCTCTCTTGGGGCGTTGAGGGACCCAAGACTCCAAAGACTGCCCCGTGGCAGCCCAAGAGGGCCCAAACTCAGCGCAAGGGCGGCGGGCTTGGGAGCGTCTCGAGACGGTCTGGGGCCGCTCTCGTTGAGGCAGGCATGCAACTCACACGGCGTCATCGCACCTCCTCCCCTATCGTTCCCCGCCCCCCCCCCTCCCTCCCCCGCGGGCCGTCGCCTGCGGTGGCCGCGCAGCTCTCGGGCGGGCCCGCGCCGGAGGTGCAGCTCGGCGAAGCCGATGAAGCTTGAGCACACTCTGGCAGGCGCCGGCGCCGGGAGGGCGAGGGGCGGCCGCCGTTGGTGCTGCTGGCCCTCGCTCGTACAGTCACCATCTATAGTAAGGGCGCGCGGTAAGGACGCAAGACCCGTGGACGGTCCCTGGACGCACCAGCGGAAGCCTTTCTAGCGGCGCACTGCCGAAACATCCAAGGACGCAGGGGTGCCCGTGGGAAGGGTACCAGTCCTTATTTTAGATGGTTAACTGTATCGTCGATCTGGGCATCCTCTCCATCTTGCGCCTCCTCGCCGCACATCCTCCCCATCCTTTGTTTCGTATGCTCCCCCTCCTCCTCAATCGAGGCTCTGGCCAGGACCTCGACAGGACGCTCGGTAAGGACGCGCGACCCGTTCCTTTGGACGGTCCCTGGCCCTGGACGCACCAGTGGAAGCCTCTATGGCGGCGCGCTGCCGAAAACTCCAAGGACGCAGGGGTGCCCGTGGGAAGGTGGCCCGTCCTTACTCTATGTTTAGCACTCTGGTATCCGACGCGGGTATCCCCTCCGTCATCCGTCGGTCATCATCCCCATCCCCACGCTTCTCATACTTCTACTTCGCCCTAGTCAGTCCTCCGTCTCCTGATCCTCTTCCGTCGGCGCGGGTGTACAGTATCCTGTGCAGTCAACCTGGAGAGTATGGATGCGCGATACGGATGCAAGGGCCTTGGGAGGCAATGTTGACGGTTTCCGAAGGTGCGAAACCCAAGGACGCAAGGCAAAGCTTGGGGATGCAAGGGTACCCTTGGGGAAGTTGTGCATCCTTACTCTGCGGGTTGACTGTATGACCCGCATGGGGATCCAAACCCTTTTGTCTAGCTGCAGTGGCAGCGCAGCTGTCGGAGTCCGATGCAGCATCGGTCCGATGCATCTCCCAGGATGCCATGCAGATGAGACTCGCAAACGTTTGAGACGTGTGGGGCGAGCAGGAGCGTCAAGAACAGACTTTAATATTGAGGGCATGATATTATCATGATATGTTTGTGCGTTGGGCGTGCGGCGTGAGGGCGTGAGGGTGTAGCGTTGTTAAACGTTGTTGTGATGTGTTGGTCTTGGATGGGCCAGGATCTCACAATCATACATCAAAGCTCGGAGGATCTGAAATCGACGAAACGTGCCCGGGGTCACAGTGGTCAGCGGTCAGGCAACCCCGAGCCTCGCCATGATCGTCCTCAACGTCCGTGCAGGATTAAACCTCGAACGACCTGGGGTGCTTGAATTACAGATCATTACAGGGGGGCCCGACCGACGGGAATCTGGAATACAATGGGACCGACCGCAAACGACTCATGTCATAAAGCTGGTCGGTCGGGTCGGTCGGGCCCGGTCGGGGTGGCGAGGAAGGAGGGGAGGTGGAGTCCCGAGGTGGAGGGGAGAGGATCTCGGAGAGGAGGGGCCCGCTCGGGGAGGGGAAGGGGGAGGGCGTGGAAGGGGAGGAGGAGGAAGGACGTGAAACAACGTGAAACAATGTGAAGTCATGCGCAGCGCATGCACGCGTGAAGCAGTGCGCCTTCATGCGCAGCGCATGCACGCCGTGCACGCTGGGCACAGCCGCGCCTGCCAGATAGCATTGCTGATTCCAGCAGGCGGGGGTTCGTGTGGCACCGCGACGGGCGGCGCCGGCAGCGCTGGAGCAGTAGCAGGGGCAGTGGAAGAGGCAGCGGCGTGCTGGAAGGACGCGCGGACGTGCGCGCCTAGCGCGCGGCCGCAACACGTGTGGAACGCTAGGCAGCAGAACGGGCACGGCACGACCACCTCGTCGGGCGATGCTAGAGTCATGCCAGAAATTGAACTCTCACACAGCGCACAGTGCACGCCTTGTAAGTCTGCTCCACTGCGAATGTCAATGCAGGCACCCCATATCTTTCGGATCTGAAAAGCCATCGGGGGCACTGCCTCTCTGTCTGCCCTGAGCTTGACGTACTTCATAGCGCAGGGGTGCACGATCGGAGCCCCGGAATAGTCCGCCTCGGCGAGTCTCGCCGACACCTCTGGGAGCCAGACAGGCTTGTCATTCCTGAGCTCCACGAGGTGGCCAATCCCAGGCGGAGTGAAAGTCCTCCATCTCACGAGCCGCACGCATCCTCCCACTTCTATCATTGACAGGTGCATGTCACGGGCTGCTACCAGCAGGAGGTCGTCCATCTGAGAGCGCGCGGCAGCGGCCCAGCGCAGCGCCTGCTCCGACAGGCGGGCGCTGTCCTGCCACGCCGCCAGCGTCGCGGACAACCTCGGGGTGGGCAGAGAGGCGGAGAGGAGAGCAGACGGCCCCCCTGGCTGGCCCCAACGGGGCCCACCACCTCTGAACCGCTCTGGGTCCTGGGGTCCCTGGGCCCTGGGCGTCCTGGGCCCCGATCGATTTCCACGGGGGGGCGGCGTTAAGCGAAAGAGGGGAAGGCCCGGGGGGGGGGGGTGCAAGGGCGAGAGAGGGGGGGGGGGCCCAGGGGTTAGGTCAGGTGTACCTGTACCTCATCCTCTCCTCCCCCTCCTCCTCCTCCCTCCTCCTCCTCCTCCTCCTCCTCCTCCTCCTCCTCTCTCCTCCTCCTCCTCCTCCTCCTCCTCAGCTCCTCCTCCTCCTCCTCCTCCTCCTCTCCTCCTCCCTCTCCCCTCTGCTCAGACGCCTCAGGAGAGGGAGAAAGGGGACTTCGGTGCACCCGAGCCCACAGGGCGGGGCCAACGGCCGGCGCCAAACCAGCGAGCGGGAGCGGGCCCAGGTCCGCGGGGGCAGAGGCAGCAGGCTCGGCCGCAGGGGCCGGCGACGAACGTGCCTCCTGCGATCCTGTCGTCGCCGTCGATGCCGTCGATCTCTCTGCGACGACCAGGCCATGTGCAAGGTGGAGGTCCTCGAAGGCATGAGGCGCCAACGGGCCAGCAGTGGCGTCGGCCTCGGGACCGAAGGACGACGCCACTGCAGCTGCAAGGTCGAGGTCGGACACCTTCGGCCTCTTCTTCGCCTGTTGTCGCTTCTGTCCCGCTGCCGAACTTCGCTGGCGATCGACGTCGACCGCTCTCCGCTCCTCCTTCGCATGGATGCCAGATGCGGCTCGTGCTTGCTCGACGAACTCGGCATCGTCCATTATTGCTTCTAACAAGTGGGCCATATAATCATCATCGTCAGCACCAGCAGCATCGCCGCCATCGGCTTCGCCTCCCTCCTCCTCATCCTCATCACCTTCAGAGTCGTCCCCAGCGGCAGGAAGGTCGCGACCTTCCAGGGCCCTCGCTCACTCCGCCCCCGTCGCCGCGAGCGACGCCCTCTCCCCCTCGCCGTTCCGGCGCGCGCGGGCCGCCGAAGCCCGCGGCTCGGCGCTCCGAGGCGCGCGGATGAGCGGCGAGAGAAAAAACGGCGTTGCTGGGCCCCCCTCCCCGCCCCCCCCTCCCCGGGGGCCCCCCTGGCCCAGGGGAGGGAGATGTCGGAGATGCCGATGCTGCGCTCCCCCACGGACCTCTCTCCAAGGGCGCGTTCTGTTCATAATTCCGAAGCGAATCCAGCCGCGACGACGGCTCTCCAAGCTCTCCAGGACGAGCAGCGGCATCGGGAGTTTCCACCCCTTCCCACAATTGCGCCCTGCCTCCCACCTGCTTCAACAGCTGGCATCGGCGGCCTCGGCGGCGCCACAAGCACGTCCTCCAGCGCGCACACGTCGCTAACGGGGGTGAAGTCGCCGATGGCCTTCCCGAACGAGCACGTGCCGATAGTCACGGCCCCTGCAACCTCAGGGCGGGAATGCAAGTCGGCGAGCACCTCGAGAGCGGACACGGATGCAGTGCACTCGTCGTACACGGCGTCCACCGAACATCGTTGGGCGGGCGCGATCTCACGCAAGTGCAAGCTGTACTTATAAATCTTGCACACGAGGTATAGTGAGAAAGTGCTGCCCGCGCCATTGCACCCAGGCAGCCGAACCACGATAGGAGATACCGGTGCCGCCTTCCGGCGGTCCCTGACTGCGCTCAATATCTTGAGGTTGAAGGGCTTGGCCCACTCCAGCGCAGCGATGCCGAGGCCCTCCGGGCGGCCGCTGATATCGCAGCCTCCATCGAGGAAGAAAACTCCACCTGAACATAAACTGGGTTTCTTGGATCCGCGCTGGACCCCCCTCCCCTCGCTGGCGCGCGGAGCGCGCCAGAAGCGGCGCCAGATGCGCCGCAAGGGAGGTCCAGGGTCCACCGCCGATCCACGAAATCCGCTCGGCCATCCGAAAGTTTAGTTTACGTGGATGTTTCTTTCTCGATTCCAGGGGCAGGGAGGGGCTGGGGGAGTCTGGGCAGAAGCGAGGAAGAGGGATGTGAGTCTGAGGGTCTGAGGGGAGCGAGATGGGGCAGGAAGTCGGAGAGCGGATGGGGGGGCGGGGAGGAGGAGGAGGAGGAGGAGGAGGAGGCGGAGGGTTCACCCCCCCGTTCAACACTTCGCTGTCGGCGCGTCCAAGATGGGCGGCGGCGACGCGAAGCGCGTCGGGGCGCTCGAAAACACGGTGTCTACCTTGCCAGCGTAGTCAGCAGCACGCTGCAGCACGCATTCATACTGCTCGGACACGTCGCTCCACTTGACGGACGCCCCGCGCGAGCCAAGGCCCATGGCCTTTATGTTGGCCACGCGAGCGTCCAGCAACGGCAAATGAATAGCGGGCGCTCGTCGGACTACCTCCTTCGAGCCCCCGACCCGAAGCCCGGATCGCAACACAATAAAAACGCATCAAGCACGATTTGCTTCGGCCCTCTTCCTCCCCTCCGCCCCTCCGCCTCTCGTCCAAGCGTTTCGAGCCGCGCCCGGCCGAGGCGGCGCAGAGGGGGGCGGGAGGCCCCCCTCCTCCCCCTGGAGGAACTGGAGGAAGTCTCGGGAGGTCCCTGGAGGCCTCCGGAGGCCCACGAATACCCCAGACTGTTTTAAAACTAACGCACGTAGTATGTGTCATCACAGTGTTTGGTATGTGTCGTAATCTGTTGTGTTATGTGTGTTTTCGGTATTTTTGTTGTTACTGTTAGTTGACACATTATATATACAATGAATACAAGGGCACGTGATTGACCCCTTGAAGTCCTTTATGATAGAGTTGAAGCCTTCGATGTCAGAAGTGTCCGCCCTCCAGGCGGCCGCAACCGTCCGCATGACAATCCAAAGGTTCGTCGGTAGCGCGCCCTCGGAGGCGACGCAGTACTTCAACTCGCGGTGGAACAAGTACCGGACTTTGGATACGACAATGGGAAGAGTCTCCTCATCGGCGTCAAGTATGCGCTGACATACGTCGCGCCTCCGCGTGTCTGGCACCCCAGGACTGGCACAAGCCAACCACATGCACTGGCAATCGAGCATGAGTAAACGTGACCACACCCGCATGTCGAAGTTCGCACTCTGCTCTGCAGCAAGGGTCGTTATGAAGTCACAATACTTTTGCCTCAGCAGGAGCGGCACCTCGTCCAGCCAAGCATCCCACGACTCAAGCTTGCAAAGGTCGGCGAGCTTGGCCCCGATCTCAGAGGCCTTCCCCCACACAAGGTGAGCTAGCGTGTTGGGCTGCATTGGATCTGGTGAGGATGATTGCTTCAGCATGAAGAAATGAAAATGATCCAACGGCTCTCGGAGGCGCTTCAGCACGTACATCACCCTGAAGAAATCGGCGCACTTCAAACCCTGCAGCACGTCCTTACTCCACTTGCCCATCTGCTCTTGGTAGGCCTCCGCCAGCTCACCCTGGACCTCATCGGCCAAAGGTTTCGTCGGTCGTCTCCTCTTTTTCCCTTTCTTGGAGTCGTCGTCGAACACAAGAGAGAATACGTGAAGCAACTCCTCTGGGTCTGCGTTGAGCACGTAAGCTTCGCACTTGGAGATGTACCCCCAACGCCCGGAGATGCATTTCGGGGGAACTTTGCTTGCACAGCGTGCGTTGGATGGATACGTTGCGACATACATCTGGTACACCTCCACTGCGCGATCTCGCCACAAGTGCATCAATTTCGTCACCATCGCCAAATATTTGAAGCCGCCAAGGTCATCCATGAAGTCGTTTGCACACTTGATGCCGTCCAGGACCATGAGCTGATACTGGTGTTGCAGGCAATTCCCATCGAACAGCAGGACTGAAGGGCCCCTCAGGAACATGGACTGGATAGACCGACGGCACGCTGCCTCGTCGGACCCCGCGTCCGTTGTTGCGCACAACACCGTGAGCACCAGTGGCCCAACATGGGCATCCACGCGGGCAGGCTGTGGACCAAGTGCGGGCTCTGCACCAGACTCGGCAACCACCAGGCCACCGGTAGACGCCGATGCTGCCGATGCTTCTTCGTCTTGCAAGTCCTGCAAGGGGGGCAAGGGGTCTGCATCTGCAATCGCGTCGAAGACGCCCAGCGTGTGGTCGCCACACCGATTGGCCAGACAGTCGACCCCAACACACGCCGCCTGCTTCACCACCACCCCAAGGCATCCCGCAGCGCCGCCGCCCCACGTCTTGGACACAACTTGAATGTCAGACAGTAGGTGGGCATGCTCCACAGAATCTACAGCGGCAGCTTCGCTATACCAGGGGCGGACAGGATCGACGCAAAAGTACGAATGGATTTCCTGACATCTCACCTTTTGTTTCTGCCACACCTGCGAGTTGGTCGCGTCCCCCCGCACGACGTAGAGGGCGAAGCGAACGGGTGCCATCTGCTTGACGGCGGTCGGGGCGCCCGTCGGGATCTCGGAAGGATCTACCTGCGTATCTGGTTCCAGGATCAGCCTGGCTCGATGGTCTCTATTGAACTGTCGAAAAGATGATATAAGAGCAGCGCGGAGACGAAGCTCTGCACATGTGATTTGACGGCGCCCAACGTCCTGACATATGGCCAACCCCATTTTGTGCGCACCAACGCCAGATATTGTCCTCCGGAGAGCCAGGGCGAGCCCGCCGCGCACAGTGAAGTACCTGTTGGCAGGCCCAGTGAATATCGTGTTCAGTGTCGAATGCGAGGTCGCAGTAGCCAATGCTTTACATTTTGCCCGCTCCGCCCTCACGAGAGCGCCTCGCTTCCTGGCTCGATCCCGAAGCCGTCTGTTCTGGATGGCGAGCCTTCTAGACCTGGCTGTCAGGGTTGTGTTCTCTCTCGCTTGCCGCAGGGCCAGGGCTTCCAACGGCGCCCGCTCCATGGACCGAGCGATGTCCACTGTCACTGCGGGCGCTACCTGCTGGCCGCCGGCGTCGACGCGAGCAGGCACGATGGCCCCCTGAGCCTGACCCTGGGGCCCCTGGGGCCCCTGGATGGGGATGGGCGGCTGCAGCTGGTGGTGCACTTGATGCTGTTGCTGTTGCTGTTCTCGCAGTCGCTGGTCGTGAGCCTGCTGCAAGTCCGAATGCATCTGCTTAGCGCTCTCTAGCACGCGTTCCCACTCCACCGCACCAACAGCAACGCCGCAAAATTCAGCGAGGACAGAGGACGCCTGGATACCAAACAAATCGGTGTCATCTGGGTGCTGAAGGGAAGAGAGCCGATCGCCCCTGAAACAGTTGCCGAAAAACCGAATGGAAGGAACATCGAGACCACCCGCGGCAAGCCAAGTTCTGAGACAATCGCGCCTCACGTAGATGCCATCTGGACACGATACTAACCTCGGTGCGAGAGCAGTTGCCAGTCTGCGTTCAAACCACCCCGACATTTGAGCAAATGGCTACGGACGCATGCCACGAAACACAACTTCCAGACGAAAACTCTGCGACGCAAGCCACAACTAACCAGGAAATGTGTCCAATCCGATCTCTCGAAGTGTGTGGTGTACCCCGTTGTGTAAGTCAACGTGCATGGTTTCTGAAGCGGGCGTGGTTTGAGCGCGCTATGTTGAACATTCAATGTGTATGTATAGTGGCCAGGGGGTACTTGAATGCGCGATTTTTGGGATTCAAATGTGCACGTATCTGAATTTCTTGTTTGCCTGAGCGCGCTATGTTGGAAATGCAAACGGTATGTTGTGGGATGTAGTTGGGGGAGGGTTTGCTTCGTTTGGGATTTCAAATCGGCGAGTTCGCTTCGTTCTGGAGTTGAGCTTGCTTCGTTTGTGATTTCAAGTCGTGAACTTTTCTTCGCTTTTGATTTGAAATTGTCTTTCGCTTTGGAGTTCGATTCAACCCGATCCTGTGATCCCAGAGGCCCACGAAAGATCCACCGAAGAATCCAGGCAGCCCCCCAGACGCTCGGAGGAGCATTCCCAAGGAAGGGGTGGGAAGCAACGGCGTAAAGTAGGGCTGGAGCTGAGCAGCCTTGGAGTATTCCTGAAGCAATGAAAAAGAGCACTTGGGTTTGGTCGGCAACGAAGGGATTCGGGGAGGAGGAGGGAATCGAGGGCGAGGGAGATCCACTTGTGGGCCACAGAGGGGAAAGCGTGGCCGAAATCGAAACTGATAAGGGAGGGGGGAGAGGACAGGCGGGAGTCACTCATCGCGGCCACTCTCGATTGCATATCTAACCCGACGATGTTTAGTCCATGGTTGCGACCACGAACGAATCCTCTTTGCGATGCTTCAATAAATTATGGGAGCCGATTCGATATCTCATAGCAGTATGCTGCCGTAATAATTTTCGAGTCGGTGAATTGTTTAGGCCCAAAGGTCTCGTTTGTGCGGGGTCCCTGTAGATGCCCTCAGCGTCGGACTCCTCCGTTCCTTTCGGAATGAACATGCCCTTCAGGTGATTGAAATCGTGCGGAAGGTCGTGCCCCTCCATCTGCCATAGCATCAGCTCTGCGAAAATTCTGCTGCCGAAGGGATGCCGACTCCAAGCCTCATACACTAGACCATCGGGTCCTGCTTCTGCATTGGTGGCACGACTGGGAACTCTTTCCATCGTCCTCTGGGCGGGGGGGCGGCACATCTTGTAATTCGGCGCTCTGAGCGAACTCCTCCAGGTAAGGCTTGGCATAGCCTGCAAAAATAAGCTCGGCGGAAAACACCTGACCCCAGTGCGCGCCAAGGCCAGCACGAGTTTCTTCAGGACCTGCGGTGTAGCCGTTGGCCTGCCCGAGGCCCAGAAGAGGAAGACTGCGGTTCATTGGGGGCCAGAGCTTACCTCTGCGGATCAATTCTTTGAGTTTCCTTCTAAGTTTGGCTTTGGCGCGCTCGGGCGACTCTTGAAGCTCAGCGCGGACTTGCCCGTGAGCTCGTTCATTCGCGTTGGAATGCTCGGCGCTGAACAGTCTTAGGAACTCATCTCCATGCAGGAGCCTGACACAGTTGCCCAGCGCATCAATGTCCAGGAAACGCTTGCCCAGGGGATGAGAGCGGTAGGCTTTCTGAGCCAGCCCAGCATCTTGATTCCATGCAGCCCAAGAAATAGAACAGAGGACCGTGAGACGGGACACTGGGTCATTCGGGGAGTGCATGATCATGTAATTCCTCGTGTGCTGGGCAGCTGCCTTCATCAGGCGCCTGTGACATGCCACTTTCAGCGGCGGGGGCAGCGGGGTCTCCTCGCAGTTGAGAGCGGCTTCCATGAACTGGCGGAATGCGTCTCTTTTGTAAATATCTGGATGGATGGGTTGGTTCCCAGGGTCTCGCGGGCGACGGGCACCAATGGTGATAGATCTCGCAGCGTGATCCGAGATGGCGGCCGTGTTCAAAACCTCAGGATACCCGTGTACTTTCCCACGCATACACACCTGAGAGATCGCCCAACCTGGGAATGGGACGAAAATCCGATCGAGGTTCGAGACAGTGATGTTCGCCGCGCAAAAATGGGTCGACTCGTCTACCTGCACCTCAATAAACTTTTGAAATAATCCCATCTACCGAAAGGATGCTTGCCTACGCCAGTCTTGAATCATAGCGGCATCAGCGGGGCGATCGCGGGGAGAGCGAGGGGGAGAGGCAAAGATATTGAAGCCCCCCGACATAGCAACCAACTATTGTTATGGGTGGGCACTGGCGAGGTCGAATTCCCGAGAGATGTGCCCTCTCACATATTCGAAACCCCCAGCTCGAACATCGTGATTGTGGGTGTTGAAGTGGGAGAGGGAGAAGCCCGAGGGGAAGGATAGATACAGCTGCAAAACTCGGCCTGGGATGAGCACTGTCTGGTGCACCACAGGACGCTGGTCAGCAGGGAGGTGGTGGAAGTCTGGGAAGAACGCGATCACTCCTCCACCTCGCGTGGTGCCAGGTGCCCCGAAGGAGTAGATCGCCAAGTGAGAGACGTGCGCGCGGTACAGGAAGTCCTCGACCTCAGCTCTGGAGCCGTGTGTCTCCCGCACTGAGACAATCGCTCATTTGGCCAGCAACTTGCGTAGATAGCCCAGGCGTTTAGAGCGAGCCCGGGGTGTGTGATGGAAAAGAGCCCTCGCATTCCAAGTAGTAATATGCAGTGGGATTGGGGAATAAGCCGCTCTGTCGCCAGACCAAGAGAGGGAGAACCGGCTAAAGACTCCATAGGTTCGGGTCCTCGGTCGGGGAGATGGCGCTCGAGATCCTCTTCTGAACGCTCGCGATGTCCAATCCCAGCGCAGATGAGTTTGGAATCGCCCCTTGAACTTTGGGGGCTTGGCCTGGGCCCTGGCTGATGACCCTGGCCAGGGGTTTCCAGTTGAGTGAAATAGTACACGTGCTCTTGTCCACATAGAACTGATCTCCACGTAATATGGATTGAAATTCGCGGCGGATGATTTTGCATGTAAGCTCGTTTTTGACCATGGCCGCTGAGTTGTCCGTCGAAATATACACTTCTGCTTGATGTCCTGAGATATCAGGGGCTTGGAAACGGGGCCATGACTTCCTCCCCTGTTTGATTGTTCCCAAGGCCATACCCACTTCTCGTGCTGCATAACTTTCTGCACCCTGGAACCTGACAATGAATTGCTTCGCGGAGTCATCTCCTTCAATCTTCCAGTCCGTGTCGATCTGCATGTTGGCAACTTTGAGCCACTCGTCGACCATGTCGGAGATCTTCTGCTTGTGGTGAGTCGACTTTGAGCGCACCGTGAGGATGGTCGGGTCGGGCTTGCGGTCGTAGTTATCGTCCCTGGCGGTCGCTATGGTGGGGGTCTCAGTGCGCATGATGCCCAGCAGGTCACGGAGCACCTGGATTTGTTTTTGCATTGAGTCGATTCGGCGGTCTTGCTCATGAATACGAACTTCGGCCTGGTGTACACGCGTTTCCATTTTTTGAGAGAGATGGGAGTAAGAACGATTGACAGTGCCTGCCAATGATTGGACACTTGAAGCGATGCCTGCAATAGATGCCATGATTTCGTCTCTCGTCGTGTCCACATGTTGACGTAATTCCACCATCGGGTCGGAGGCAACTGGCGTAGATGGAGCCGCTGTACCCACATCTCCGAGGGCAGCGGCCACTTCTGCTTGATATTCGAGTTGCTGTGTGCCACTGCGTCCCCGACTTTGGCTGCGACTCCTGCGCGCAGCACGAGCGTCAGCAGAGCCAGAAGAGCGAGGGCGAGAGTTGCCAGCGGCAGGAGCCGTGCCCATCGCAGGCATCGCGGGCGGCAGACGGGGGAGCGGGAAAGGGATGTAGGGGAAGTGTCAGAAGAGAGGTTCGTAGCTGTGATGTGGCGGGCGCCTGCCCGCGTCTGAATGCGGCGGAGTCCCTGGTTGGGCAGCCGTCTGGGGGACCCGCGGGCGCGTTTGGACGCCTCCTCGCGCGTGGGGGAGTCCACAGATGGCCTTGAGCCAAAATGGCTTGAGGCAAAATGGCTACGGACCCTCCTCCTTCTCCTCCTTCTCCTCCTCCTCCTCCTCCTCCTCATCCTCCTCCTCCTCCTCATCCTCATCCTCCTCATCCTCCTCCTCCTCCTCCTCCTCATCATCATCCTCATCCTCATCATCCGGAGCGCCCCCGATCGGCGGCACTGGCCGGAGGCCACTGCAATAATCCCCGCCGAGAAAAAACACACACACGCCCGAGCGACATCAAAGGGGGGCAGGGCCCCTCCGGGCATGTCCGGACACCTGCGGGCGAGGCGGACTCGGGAACCTCCGAGAGCGGGCGGGTCCGGAGGACGCGCCGGGCGCCGGGATCGGCTCCGGGAGCGCTCCAGAACGCGAAGGTCGGACCTGTGCCCCTAGAGGGGGAAATTGAGGCAAGAAACAAAAAAACAGAAAACATATTCCCCACATGCTCCAAGTCAGTCCACAAATCGTCCCTGGACTACTTTTCTAATCTATTCTTGAACCTCCCCCCGGTAGAAAGACAGGACCGACTTGACAGAACGCTCCGAGAGCGCACCATAACGCTGTGGGGCGATGGATCCTCCTCCTGGGCCTGGTTGCTCTCACGCCTCCTTCCCGCCTCGCGACGGTATTCTTAGGGGAACGAGCTCAATGCACCGACGTTTTTTTGTCCGATCCTGCGCTGAAACTCGCACAAGAACGCGGGTCCTGGTGTATACGGGATCCTGGTGTATACATTTTTCGTTGTTTCCCTGAGAACACGGGGGCAAAGTATACACCACGCCACCCCGACGTCGTCCACGACCCTCAAAGTAGTGGGATTGAAACAGCAACCCGCCGCTAATAATGTGTATGTTCCAGTCTCTGTCTGCGTTGCACTCCGCAGAACACTGGGCCGCTGGCGCAGGAGACACCAGTCTGGCGCTCCTCTCGCGAGTCCAACCGAGCCGTCGTGCTGCCATTTCACTGGCTGCTGGGTGCACGGCCGAGCATATCAAATGATGCGCCTGGTGTATCATATCTTCACATAGCAGACATCATCAATTTCATCATATTCTGGAGCAGCGATGCGCATCGAACGAGGCGTCGATCCGCGATTCCGCGGCCAGCTTTCAAACCCATCGGCAGATGAGATAAACTTACCGACGCATCGTCTGCGCATAGGGCTGACATGCGAACGGGACATCTGTTGGGTCGAACGAACAAATCTCCGGGCGAGCGGGGACATTTGCCCGGGTAGACTAGGAACTTCCGCAGACTGCGCAATGTTTTTCGGTTTCGGGCAAGCGGGTGATTCTCCTTCGGTCGAACAGGGGAAATACTGCGGGCGAGCGGAGCGATTGTCCTCATCGAGCAAGGACATTTACAGATGGTGGACAAAGAATTTCCTGTTGCAAGCCTCTTGAAGGAAAAACTATGCAAACTATGAACATCTCTCGTGTCTGTGTACATGAACAAAACACTCCATGAACATGATCTATCGGAGGCCCGCGCAAATTTCTTGGACTTGCGCTGGGTCCCCTCCCTGGCATGCGGGGCGCGCCGGGGGGCGGCGATGGAGGCGCCGCTAGGGGGGGCACAAAGCCGATCCCAAAAGACTGGGGGATCCCCCCCCGCACATTGCCACGAATCGGAAGTGCCGTCACCCGAAGGAACACCAGCCACGGCGGACTTGGTTTAGCTGGTGAATCTGGCACCTTTGTGGGACTCCTGGTGCCAAGCACCAAATGACCAACTCCCCTTCGACAGGCGGGGCCCTGGCTATATTTCCAAACCAGAGCCACGCCACGAATCTGCATGTATGTATGAATATCCACACACACATATATATATATACACACGTGTACATATATATGTGTAGATATTCACAGACACCCTCCGACGCGGCGGTGTGTCCAGGCGCTGCTGGCTCTCCTGGGGTGACTGCTCCACCGCCGCCCTCCCCAGGGAGGCCCGGGCACAGTCCACGGGAGGGCGCCCGAGTGTATACCTATGGCGCCGTGGCGGCCCCTCGAGCCTGGTCGCCAACGGCGGCGGCGGCGAGGGGAGCAGCCCCCCGCGGTGCTCTCGCCAGAGCGCCCGCCTCCCGCTGCGCCCCGCGGCCCTCCCCTCGGGGGAGAGCCCGAAGCCGACCCGGAGCTCGGCCTCCGCGGGATGGGATGGGGAGGGGCGGTGCCGCTGGGGCCTCGCCCAACGGGACGAGGGGAGGATTCGGGCGGGTGGTCACACGGTAGGTTCGTGCGGCGTCGGCGCGCGCAACAGGTTTTTGACACCGCGTCGATCATTCCATCTCGAATCGATCGCGGCCCTGATTGTCGGGCCCAATGGCATGACCGTGCCCATCGGTGCTTCCGCGTGGCAGGATTCAACCTGTAACGCCTTCGCTGGCGTCGCCAGCGTGTCAACGCCACACGGACCTACCATTCGGGGGGTGGCCTATAGATGGGGGGGGCGAGGAACGGGGCCCTGAAGGGGCCCTGGAGGGCCCCGTTCGGAGCCAGCAGGGGCCCAGGAGGGGCCCTGGAGTGCCCCCTTCGGGGATGGACAGACCTCCCTTTAGTAAAACGTGGTTTAGTGAAAACGACCTGAGGCCCAAACCTGGCGGGCGCAGGCCTGGAAAATAACGGCCACGGCGCCCTCTCGAGAACCGAAAACGGACAATTCACTAATCGACGTGTCACTGTTGGGGGTTCTGTCCACCCCCGACCACTCAGGGCCCTTTGTCTGCATCCCTCCGTCAGGTCACCCTCCATCACCGCCCGCCCGCAGGAGGAGGGCAGGCCCCTGCGATGTCCAGCGGCAGCCCGTGGGAGCCTCCGACAACGCCTCGATGGCTCTTGCGGCCCGACGCTCGGCGCTCATCGGCGCTAGGCGGCCCCGAATCGACCCTGCCACGGCTAAGTGAGACAAAAGCAGGGCGGGGACAAGTCTCCGTTGTGGCAGTGGCGGGGTGCGCGCACGAGTTGTATCCAGATCCAACTCAGCTCGAAGCGCAAGGATCCTCATTCCTAATCGCGTGATGAGGAGACGGCGGGGACCAACGGCGGGTCTGAAGCACATATGGGGGGCGCCGCGGTCGCTCGACAGCGTTCTCCAGAACGAGAACGCTCTGGAGCGATTTATCCGCATCCTGCATTCGAGGCCTGCTGGATTCCTCCCTTCAGGGTGACATACCCTCGTCCAACCCAGACATCAAGAGGCTCGACAAAAACGAGAAGCATCTCTTTCACAATTCTCGGCACATGGGGGGAGGTTCCCAGCCCTGGAGACAGAAAACCAAATGCTCAGGCTGAAAAGCCGGTCCTTGGGAAGTGGTCGAAGCCCTGGGGGTCGATTTCACGGAACAAATTGCAACGTCGAAAGTGAAGGTTCCCCTCATCCTTCGTGGTCTTCGGATTTCCTCTGGACCCTCCGCGCAGAGGAAGAGCAACAGGACACACCCACACTCACCCTTATCTCCACTCGCATCATCACCCTCACTCCCACAACACAATCGCTCGCATCGTTCCCTTCATCATCGTTCTCATCCTGACCGCCATCACCAATCCTCAACCTCACTCCCCCAAGACGGCCCACGTGGTTCCCAAGGGGACACGACGACACTGAAGGAGCCCAGGACAGCCACGTGAATCCAGACAGCCTCTCATGAGAGCCCCTCGAATCGCAACGTGGTGTCACACGTGACTTTGTCTACGAGCCCCCCCCCAAGTGGCACCCCCACGCGTGGCTCCAGACGATCTGTTCAGGGGCGCACCGAAACGGGAGGGGAGATGGTCTGCGAGATGCGGGGAACCACCGGAGCACTGGGGCCGTGGGCGGAGCTCCCTCGGGGTAGCATCCGCGTGGTGCACCTGCACACGCACGTGGCAGCACAGGCGGCACGCTCGGCAGCCGCAAAGCAGCTGCCGCTGCCGGCAGCGCAGCCGCGGAGATGACCAGCGGCGGCTGGCAGCCGCTGCGGCAGGCAGCGCAGCAGACCGAGGATTTTTGTTTTTGGCCACCATTGGCCGAACCAGTACAGGGGCGCCTAAACCGACGCCGCTGGAAACTGGGGACAGAGCAGTCACGACCCACGAACGGAGAGGGGAGGAAACGCGCGGCGCAGCGGAGAGCAGCCCCAGGCAATGGAGGCACGCGGGGCCGACAGGGCGCAGAGGCCACTCTCCGCATGCCCGTGCATGTGCTACCCCGCCCCCCCCCCCACGTGATGTGATCAGTACACAGCAGGACGACCAAGATCGACAGGCCATCGATGTGGCAGGCCGAACAGACAGCTGCTAACAGATCAGAAGGAGAAGGAGGAGGAGGAGGAGCAGCAGCAGCAGGAGGAGGAAAAGGAAGACGAGGAGGAGGAGGAGGAGGCCTGCTGGGGATTGCCCTGCCCTAACTGCGCTCGCGCCCAGGCTCGCGCTCGGCGATGCGCGTGCGCGACGGCAGGCCTGCGTGCACTGGCGGCCTGTGTCACCTTCCCCTCGTTCTCCTCCTCCTCGTACTCCTCCTCCGCCTCCTGGTTCTCCTCCTCCTCCTCCTCCTCCTCCTCCTGCCCCTCCCCCTCTTCCTCCTCCTCCTTCTCGCATCAGACTCCTGTGTTTTCCCTCCTCCTCCTCCTCCTCCGTCTTCTTCTCCTCCACCGTATACTCCTCCTAATCTCTCTCCTCCTCCTCCTCCTCCTCCTCCTCCTCCTCCTCCTCCTCGCCCTCCAAGGCCATATTAAAGTCGGATATCACAAATCCGAACACCCAATCGAGAGGGGCACGGGCTGATGCTACATGTTGAAGCCCCAGGCCCTCAATCACCGAGACAATGAC